CGTCTGGGCCTGGAGCTGCCCGCAGCCCCGTGCCCTCCCGCCGGCCCAGGCGCTGCAGGGGAGCCCCGGCCTGGGCTAGCGCTCCCTCCAGAACGGCGCCTTGGCACGTGCAGGCAGGGCCGTCCCGCTCTGTGGGCGCAGCAGCTCGCGCCCACCCCGCGGGGGGAGCCAGGGAGACGACCCCAATATCCTCTTGCCGCGGAGGCCAGAGCTTCCCAGCCGTGGGCGCGGTGCCTGGCCACGAGGAGCAGGACGAAGGCAGGGAGGGCGCGTCCTGCTTTGGAGGATGCTTCTGTTGCAGAGACGTGGGCCTGGTGCTGCCCGCCAAACAGTGACCCGGAGCCGGGGTTTGGCAGGACAGCGGCCTGCCACGCGCCGCTCGAGGTGGCACGGGGCCGGGGCCAGGCGCCCCTGCCCCCCAGGCTCCTGGAATTCCCCCAGGGAGCCCCACGCAAGTGCCGGGGTTGAGCTGCCTGGTCCCCATGCCTCCGGGTGGGAGCTGCGGCACAGCTCGCTTCCACCTCATCCAGTGTCTCCTCCACGTGGTTCTGGCTGCAGCAGTTGGGTCAGCGACCACGAGAGATCGGCCGCTTCCCGGCTCCTCGACAGGAATTGCGAGCAGGAGGGAAGGATAAACCCTCCTGTAACCTGGCAACGTCTCTCTTGCTGTGGCAGCAAACCCTGGCAGGCTGCGGGCGCATGCGGAGCTGTCAGCAAGCAGATTGCTGCCCCAGGCCACGGCTGCGGTGATGGAGGAGCCAGTGCAGCGGAGCGCAGAATGGCGGCCGCTCCAACAGCCCGGCAGCACCCGCACCTTTCCCGCCGGCTGGGGCGCTGGGAGCAGGCGAAGGCTGTGAAACCCATCTTCCCTCCTCTTCTGCTGCCCCATCCCTCCCTTCTCCCCTTCCCTGGGCGTGGCGGGGCGCGCCGCGTCCCTGGGGACAACGTGCTTTGTCGTGCACGTGAGGCTTTGTGTTGCACGCTGCTGCCGCTCACGCGGGGCAGCATGTACAGTGTTAATGATTTGTCTGTGTCCATCCATCCATCACGGGGGTCTGTGACAGGGCTGGGACGGTGGGCCGCGCGCATCTCGAGGGCAGGGCGCCTAGCCGGGGAGGCGATCAGGATGCTGCGGGCAGGCAGGCGGGGAAGCCAGCCACACATTGTGCCCTGCCGTCGCCATGCTGCGCTGCCTCCTTGGCGCACGCTCCCCCTCCGCCTGCCCCCCACTCTTTCCTTCCCCTCGCTTGCGCGCTGCCCTTCCTTTCCCTGGATTTCTGTCTCCTGCTGGTGCTGCGCTTGTCCGGAGGGGCTTGTTCTTAGCCTTCTGTGCTGGAAATCCTGCCAGTGAATGTTTCTGTGCTGCCTGCCACGTCCCTGGGGAGAAGGCCTGGGAATGCAGTGCTGGAGGAGACCAAGACAGCTATTGTTCCCCACGGCTGCCGGGTGCTTTCTTTAGCTGGCAGAGCCTCCCTGCGAGCTGCTCCATGTCCTTGCCGGAGCCTCCCCTGCACCCCGGGGCCCAGGATCCTGTGGCGCTGGAGAGGAGAGGCTGCAGTGCTGCTGCTGGAAGGCTCAGACGTGTTTTCAGTTTGCCTCCCGCTTATCTCTGCTGTTTGGACAGAGAGGTTTAAAAGGCTGGATTTTCTGTCCCTGCAGAGTAAACACACAGACCCGGGCAGCACAAACTATTTCTGGCTTATCAGTTGAGGAATGCAGCAGCTGAGGATTAGCGGGAGTGGGCCGTCAGGAAGGCCCTGAAGGGGCCCCCTCCCCACTCCGCTCTATTAGAAGTGTGAGAGCCCAGCAGGACTCAGAGGGGAGAGTTGGAGAAAAAGGCAGAAAAGGGAAAGAAAGAGGCAGAGGGAGAGGAGAGAGGCTGAGCCGACCCGATGGCCACGGATGAAGTTGCCGGCGGGGCTCGCAAAGCCACGAAAAGCAAACTTTTTGAGTTTCTGGTCCACGGGGTGGTGAGTCGGGAAAGTTAGAGAGCTGGCTGGTGCTGAACAGAGGGATGAGCGAGCCAGGCGCCAGGGCTGGGCTGGGAGCAGCCCCGCCGTGTGCCCTGGGTGCTGGCTGGCGGTCCACGCCGCGTGGCAGGAGCAGGGGATGGGCCCAGCTCCGTGGGCAGGCGTTTGGGTGAGGTGTGCAGCGGTCACTGCTTCTGACGCTGCGGGAATGGGGGGGCGGGTTTGCTTCCAGACCGGTTCCGGGGCAGGGGCCAGAGCGGATCTGACCCCTGCGGTCTCGCAGGGCGCCTGGTTCTGCAGTTCAACTCCTGCTGCGTGCAGGGATGCTGGGAAAGCCCTGTGCCGCGGGGCGCAGGACTTGTCTCTCGTGTGTCCCCTGGCTACCTAACAGGTGACTTCCAGGAGACTAGCTCTGCACTGGTTGCTGGGGAGCCTCAAGCTGCCATACTTCGGGCACCCTCAACATCCTTGTAGCCTTCCTGTGGCCATTGGAGGCCTCCTGACATTCAAGGGATTGCCATTCGTGAGGACATGCCTTCCTCCGCCTTGTGCTTGTTGGGAGCTGTGTCCCTCCGGGGCTCCCAGCAGTGACGGAGAGCAATTGCAGCTTGTGACATTGGGGTTTCTTAAGGAGACTTCAGTGTAACAGAAGGCGCAGTGCTGGGGAGTCTGAGGAGCGCGAAGGCTGAGTGGCTGTCAGAGATTGCGCGCGCTTTCTCTTGAGGACTTGGGATCTGCTTGCAGTGGCACCCTCTTCCAAGCCGTCGCAGAGGGCTCTGCGTTAGAGTCCAGCAGCCCACGGTGCTGCCCCTTTGGCGGCCTGGTGCTTGCCCTCGGTTTGCTTGCCTGGAGCGTGACGTCTTTGACAAACCCTCGAGATGGGGCGATCCAGACCTGCCAGCCTAGGGCAGTGTGAGCAGCATGCCGTTTATATGAGAACAGCATCCTAGTGACCGCGGCACTGGGGACCTGCAGGATTAGTGACTGGCAAATGAGCACTCCCCTTGGTCATACAGCCCGTGTCTGGGGGCAGGCCAGCCTGTGGGGTAGCACGCCTGCCAACGGGCAGGCCTGTGCAGCAGACTGTGAACGGGGGGTGACCTAATGGTAGAGGTGAATGCATGGGGCAGTCTGCTGGCTGGCACGTGCGGATGGCCTGTGGGGCAGTGCAGCACGGGGTGGGCATGTGAGGCGGCCTGGGAGCCGGGAGCATGTGGGTGGCCTTTTAAAGGGTCAAGTGTTCTCTTGGCAATGACAGGCCAACGCACTCCCTTCAGTACCGGGGACAATGGCTGAAGCGGTGGTGAAGAGATCCCCTCTCACCTGTGGGTGGGTGAGAGGTGCCAGGGTCAGTCATAGATTCATAGATGTTAGGGTCGGAAGGGACCTCAACAGATCATCGAGTCCGACCCCCTGCCTAAGCAGGAAAGAGCGCTGGGGTCAGATGAGAGTCAGGCTGAAGTCAGGCTTTCTGATGCAGAATTGGGCCTCTCCAGCACTGGAACTGCCTGCGGATGTTGGCAGTAGTGGATGACCAAAAACTGTGTGCTTGGACTTCCAGAGAGCCTTTGCTGTAGTTTGTCGCTGTGCAGGCGGCATTGGAGACTGGCTGCCTCGTCCGCGTGGGGATTGCAGGCTCCAGCATCGCTCCGTGCATGTGGCTGCAGTCAGGCAGATGTCTGGGGCGGAGGTCGCTGGTGCCGGTGTGGCACAGCTCTCCTCAGAGCAGCCCTCTCTGCTCCTTAGCAAGGCCCCGCAGGCCTGCCCCAGCAGCTTCTCCTCCCACTCCCCTGGCATTATGTTGTGTGTTTTCCTTTTACTGGTGCACCTGCCGCACTGACCCTGATCTACTCTTTTAGTTCCTTCACCTCCGTTCTTGCCTCCTTCCTTGTCCTTCTCTGGACGTGGGCACAGCCAAGTCTCCTCCACCAGAAGGGGAGTCACTCCTGACCTCACCTGTCTCGCCAGCCTGCGCTCCTTCATCTCCACCTCCAAAACAACTGAAGGAGCCGTCACAGCTGCTGCCCGCGTTCTCATTTCTCTAGCCACTCGGCCTCAGGCTGCAATGGGTCATGCGGTTTCCGTGTAAAAGCGAAGGCAGCAGCAGAGTCTCTGATCGTGTCCATGAGGCTGTAGCTCTTGATATGGGGGCAGAAGTGCTTGAGGTGATAACTGATGAGTTTTCTGTCAGGGAGGGGCACCAGTGTCCTCAGCGGTGTTGTTGCCAGTGGTGGAAAGGATTTTGGAGAGAAGACTCTTGCCACATTTCCTGGGGACTGTGAGACTGGACTTCCCGAACCCCTGTAGGCGCAGACTTTGTCACCAGCTCTTGCGTCATCATTCTGGGCTCTGCCCCTCTCCTCCATCTCTGGTCCTGACCCTCTCTTTGCTCTACCCCAGTGATCCTCAGCTGGGCGATACAAGACCCTATCAAGGGTAGTGCACATGAGTACTGTTAGGTGTCCAGACACTTACACATGATTCATAAGATAAACCCAGAGATTTCAAACAGGAATCCCCGGCATCACAAACATTCAGACCTGCTGTGGTCCCTCTTGCTTTCTTGTCACAGAAGAATTGCTCTTATTTTTCCATGGTTGAGAAATGAGTGACAATGAAGAGATGGCATTTTCTGCGGGGGCCTGGAGCCTCACAAGGTGTGTCTTGAGTCTGGAAAGGTTGAGAACCTCTGCATTATCCAGACTGGTCTCGTGATGGGCAAGATCTTGAAGCCTGTGCTGTAGCCTCATTCTCCTTAACTCCATGATGGCCTTTGCTGCTGACAACCACACCTTCCTGAAATCGCTTTCTTGGCACTCCTGTCCTTCTATGGTCCCTGCCTACCTCAAGCCTGCTTTAACAGGTCCTCCTCAGCCTGTCTTGGTGGACACCTCTGAAGGCCCTATCTCTGGCCTGTCCTTTTCTCCTCTCTGCGCCCTGTTTGCAGTGATCTGATCCAAAACCCTGCCGGTAACCATCTTTATGCTGATATACCAGTCTGCTGATCAGCTTTCTCCCTTCCTTTAACCAGTAGCACATCCTCACTTGCCTTTTCTGGCATCTGTTCTGGGTGTCCAGCCATCAAGTTAAGCTCAGCGTGGACAAAACGGAGGTATTAATCTCCTACAAGCCATCGCCTTTCTACCTGGTGCTGCCCCGGCCGGTCACGTGGACCTCCTCTTTGGTCTCTTTCCTTTGACACATGTATAACGGAGCCATATCGACCTTTCATCTTGCACGTTCTGCATCTATGATCCAGTGCTGTCAGCGTGGTTCTCCTCCCCCTTTGTAGCATGGGTGCCATTGAGATCTCCTCCTGTTCATGGAGAACACTGCTGCCAGGTTCATCTCCTTGGCCCCTTGTTCTGGCTCTTCAACGCCCTGCTGCTGCCCTGTCACTGGCCCCCCCTTCTCCTTTCTACAAAGGGAGTCTGACCTTAGTGTGTTAGGCCTTTCTCCTCCTCCCTGGTCAGATCTGATGTCTTACTACAGCATCCATGACATCAGCTCAGCCTGATGGCTGTTCTCAGGTAACTTCAAGCTCCCCGCTGCAGCGTCTCTGTTGCTGGGGAAAATGTCCCTGTTGGCAGTGATGGAATCAGTCTTGTCCTCTTTTACATCTCCCCTTAAAACTGACTTCTGTCATGATCTCTACTAATTGCAACTAGCTGCACCAAGGCTGCTAACTTGTACAAATGTACCCATCCTTCAGCCAGTCTTCTTGACCAGCCCATTTACCTGCTTATTCACTCTCTCTGCTCACCGTGGGCTGTGTGTGTGGTTGGGGCAGGGGCTGCATTTGGTGCTTGGCAGTTATCACAGGAAGCCCCATTCCCAGAGCAGGGTCCTTGCACCTTACCGCAGTAATGATAAATAAGTGAAATAGGGATAAGCCCTCAACTTTCCCCATGGCTGGAGGCTGTGCCTGAGATCTGGTTCCACGAGGATCCACAAAGCATCTGAGTTTGAATCAGTGATCTGGAAAAGAGGGTGAGCACCGCGTTTTCATGTGCAAATGTTGCTACGAAACTCCTTGTACATCGCTGGGTTTTAAATGAGCTGAAACCATTCACAAAAAAGGCCTGGACGTCATTGTGGGCTGCTCGGCACACGGCAGCAACCAAGAAAGCAAATACAATGTTCATGTGCATGAGAAATGGGGCAGGGAATAATACAGCAGGCACCGTGATCGGAAGTGGGGTCATGTCCTCACCAAGACATTGTGCTTGGGACCGACAGGGTGGGGGCTTCGCGCTGGGCAGGTGAGGGCAGGTGGGTTTATGTGGGAAATCCTGTTGAGGAGATGAGATGAACAGTAACTTGTCGCAGAGGTGGTTAATCGGGTGCCCCTTTCTGTGTCTCAGTAATAACAGAGGGCATGCTCCATGAAACTGGAAGGCAGCCTGGTCAAAGCAGGTAAAAGCCGTGGTTTTCTCCAGCACACCATAAACCCGTGGAACTTGCTGCCATAAGAAGTGGCAGAGGCCCAAAGATAAATGGGCTTCGTATACATTAGACAATAGTGCGAGTAGAAGTGATGCTCAGTAGGGCTTTATGAGGGATGTAATCTCCTCCCTGTGTTGGATGTGAACCCAGCTCAGCCTCGCAGGGGGTGGAGAGATGCTTTCAGCTGTTCCCTGCCCCTCCTGCAGGACTTCTCGCAGCTTCTGTGAGGCCTTTTGTCCAGACCATTGCCAGAGAGGGTGTGTTTGACTTCTGATTTAAGTGTCTGTGGAGCACACCTTACTTGGCTTCAGAGCTGGCTCGCTGATGGAGCACGGCAAGTGGTGAACCAGCATTGAAGGGTGTTCCTAGGAGGGAGTCCGCAGAAACGGGCATGAGGCCCCTGCAGCTCAGCTATGTCATGCAGCGGATAAGGCCCTGGACACTTAGTCAAGAGACCTGGGCTCTGTTCCCAGCTCTGTCATCGACCTCCTGGGGGACCCTGGGCAAGCCGCATCCTTTATCTGCGCTCCAGTTCCCTGCCTGTAAAACAGGGATACTGATACTGGCCTTGTATAAGGCAGGAAGTGCTAGGTAGGAGCTGGGTATATATCATTATCACCGTTGCTGCTGCTGTCATCAGTGATACACAAACAAGAAGAAAATTGCCGCTGGTAACATTTTTGGATGACATGAAAATGGCAGAGTAGCAAATAAGAATGAGGGCAGGACAGTCGCCCAGTGCAAACTGGATCTTGGGAAAGTCAGGCTGGAAGGGACCTTACACGGTCACATCTAGTCCAGGCTCTGGCTCAAACCATCCCTGACTAAACCATCCTGGCCACGTGTCTGTCCACTCTGCCCTTGAAAACTCCCAGGGATGGAGATCCAACAACTTCTCTAGGTAGCCTGCTCCAATGCTTGACCACTGTCGGATTGTTCCTCCTCATCGCCAACCCCAATTTCCTCTGCTGCAGCTTGAGACCATTGTTTCTAGTCCTGTCTCCTGTAGCCACTAAGGAAAGCCCATCACCATCCTCTCTGTAATCGCCCTTCAGGTATTTGAAGACTGTTACCAAATCCCCCCTCGGTCTTCTAACTAAATGAGCCTAGCTCTATCAGCCTTTAATTGTGTGGTCAGCTGGGCCTGTTCACACACAATCCAGTTACTTTTAATACAGCTAGCGCACTAGGAACCGAGAGTGCAGTCCTCACTTAGAGATTTGAGGCTTGGAGCATGGTGTCTCCCAGTGAGAAAAGCAGTGAACTTTGTTTGACTTGTCCAACAGGAAATCAAGAGGGGGCTTATTTGCACCATACTGTCTCCAGAAAGGAAATATGAGGTCCAAAATGGGTCTCTGTCATTTGTTTCTGTTGTCACACCTGGGAGGTCCTACTCTTGGCCGCATTGCTCTGGGCATGGTATGTGCACAGAGAACAGAAGGCTGGTCCTTGCCCCAGAGAGCTTACAATCTCCCCATAAGATGAGAGAAAATGGATGGACAGACAGATGAGGGCACACGAGGAAATGATGCGACAGCAGTGGTCAATGTGAGATGGAGTAGTTACCTGCAGCCTGGCTGTCAAGTTTTTGGGGCTGAGAGTGTTTGAGAAGGATCTGAAGTGGAAAATGGAGATTTGGGGGCGTTTCTGGAAGGTTTTTACGAGGCATGAGGGGCAGCAGCGATAAGGAGCAGGCTCAAAAGTGCCGGTTTGCGAGGAAAGCCAGCCAGCGGCAGAGGCTAAGCATCATGGGCTGACTGGTGGCAGGGGTCGACCTTCTGGTGCTATGTGAGCACTGACAGATAGGGGAGGGATCAGCTGTCAATAGTAG